CCGGATTTTTGACAAAGAAGCTAAATTTATACAAAAGAATAAAGAAAGCATCTTCAACAAATGGTGCTGGTATAACTGGATGCTGGCATGTAGAAGACTGCTGATAGAACCATGTCTATTGTCATGCACAAAACTTAAGTCCAAATGTATCAAAGACCACAACATAAATCCATCCACACTGAACGTATTAGGAGAGAAAGTGGGAAGTACCCTTGAATGAATTGGTACAGGACACAGCTTTCTGAACATAACACCAATAGTACAGACACTGAGGTGGACAATTAATAAATGGGGGATCCTGAAACTCAGAAGCTTCTGTATGGCAGAGGACACAGTCAACAAGACAAAATGACAGCTCATAGAATCGGAAAAGATATTCACCAACCCCACATCTGACAGAGGGCTGATCTCCAAAATTTACAAAGAACTCAAGAAGCTAGTCTCCAAAACACCAAATAATCCAATTAAAAAGTGGGGTACAGAACTAAATAGAGAATTATCAATAAAGGAATGTAAAATAGCTAAAAGACACATAAGAAGTTGTTCAACATCATTAGCAATCAGGGAAATGCAAATCAAAATAACTCTGAGATACCATCTTACTCCTGTCAGAATGGCTAAAATCAAAAACACCAATGGCAGTTTATGCTGGAGAGGATGGGGACTTCACATTTATTTTTACTGTAAACCCAGTCAGTTGCCTATGGTTGGTGAGGTTGTGGACCCTAGAGGAAAACCTTCTACTGAAATTTTCATAGACCAGTTTATTCTAATATGTACTTTATATTTATTCATTCATATATCTGCAGATAGATGTCACCTTTTCCTTCATCAAAGAGGCTTCTTTTCAGCTGAGTTTTGATGGTGTCTTTAATTCCAGCACTTGGGAGGGAGAGGCAGGAGGATCGCTGTGAGTTTGAGACCAGCCTGGTCTCCAGAGCGAGTGCCAGGATAGGCTCCAAAGCTACACAGAGAAACCCTGTCTAGGAAAAAAACAAAAAACGAGGCTTCTTTTTGAAGTTCATGGAGGGATTTATGGAAATCAATATCTGGTCAAAATGCAGAGAGTGATTGGCCATGGGGTACCTAGCTCCAGCACCAATTGGCACCCTTGTCATGCAAACCCTACACTTAAATCTCAGAGTACATCATGGAAAAGGGGAAGGCTTGAATGATTGTTAGCAGCACAGCACAAGAATATTTGCTGATAAACAGTGACCTCTAAACATCACAAAAACAGCATCCATGAAATTTCAACAAAATACTTTCCTAAACAAGTCGTGTATAATGGCATCATTAGTTGACAAACAATGTCAATAGAGGTAATTTCAATAGGCCCCATCCCTAGGTGAAAAGTAATTAATGGCTACAGAAGATGAAAAGATTAATGGCTACAGAAAGAGAGCAATCCTTTTCTTCAGGGAAGAACCCCCTAATTGAGACCCACTCCCAAGAAGTCAGTCCAGAATTCATACATGTACATAAAGAGATCACTAAATGGGCTCAGTAGTTCTGTGTGTGCATGCATGTGTTTGTATAAAAATTATAATTCTAGCCGAAAAAGTCATAAACTTGAGCAGGAGTGGAAGGAACATGAGAGAGCTAAAGGTGGGAAAGAGGATGGAAAATAAGTATATCTAGTATTCATATATGGAATTCTCAAAGATTTTAAATCACTAGTATATTGGGGATAGAAACCGTGTACCTTTTATTTCAGCAAGGTAGTAGAAATGGAAAATAATTACCCCAAACAAATTAATTTTTAAATGATATAAAGTGGAATGAGTTACTAAACTCCCCAAATAGCTTGTCTCTCAGTGAAAGTAAAATACTGAAGACGGTTCTTTATGCTTTCTTTTTGCACATTGACTGCTGCGTTTACAGTTTCCTTTCTCCTGTGAAATTCTGAACATATGCTCTGTTATGGTCCATATCTCCCAGTTGAACAAGGAGTATGACTTGTAGCAAGTGTAAGGAATAGTAATTCTTTAGTTATTACACACACACACACACACACACACACACACACACACACACATATGAACAACATTACCTTGTATTGGCAGTCAGTCTCACAGAATTAACATCAGAAGGCATGACCTGCATATTTTCCAATTGCTTCTTTATTTTAATAATGAACACATTGATCTTAAAACTTAGTTCATTGGTCCTCATAATACATTCATTCCATTATCTTTTGTGTTTCAGCATTTGAAAACATTAAAGAGTAATATTCACACATTTTCCAGCTTCATTTATGGGAAACTTGTCTTTTTGTTATTACAGTTGAACCTAAAGGTCTTATACCAAGTGGAATAAGCTTTATTGAGAAAGATATGTGCTGCATCCTGGCTACTGATATGAAAGCAATGGGGTGAAGAGGAGTGTTGATGAATGGGTGTAGCCCATCACACAGAATGAGGAAATTCCAGACTTCCAGTGCTCAGGGTGTAATAACTCGCTGTGTATTTAAAATTTGCTGAAAGCAGATCTCAGTGTTCTCACTACACACCCACACAAAAGGATGTGTGTGGGGGATGGGTGTTCCATTAGTTTGACAGTAATTGCCATATGCTGTGCATACTAGCACATCACACAATTTATTTGCTCAGTTTACCTCAGTAAAGTTGGGAAAAGTGTCTTAGTTTTATGTGAGCATATTTTATAATATAGTGATATTATATTGGAATTTCGAATGAATATTAATGTCAGAATATTACAGAAGAAAGCAAAATGTATGCTCTCTTTTTTGCCTAAAAGTGGAAAGTTTCAGAGGATTTATAAAATTAGATACAGAAAAGTGAATTTCTTTCCATATTTACTATCTAGTGTATTTGGGATATTTATTCATCCTTATATACTTTACGATGAAGCAAGGAGTTAAGTCAATCTAATTTAGATTTGTTGAAAAATTTATCTTACTTGCAAAACAACAAGCCATAATTTACAAATAAAATCATTAATATAAACTATATCAACAAGACAAAATCCAAACATTTTATTCTTTTGAAGTTGTTTTTACTTTGAAATTTCCTAAATAGAAATAGAACACATTACATTACTTTTAAAATTATAGGCATATTATATATTGCATCAATGCATATTAGGGACCTTAGATTGGACTATTTCATATGCACTTGTGAATATCCTGCACATATAATTTAATGTGGGAATATATGCTTTAATCTCAGCTTTCACAATTTTGTTGTCTTCTATTCCTTCAAAATTTTCATTTTTCCCTTCAGAATGATCTGCTTCTAATAGGGTAGGCATGGTGCTGAGTTGGAGGTAACAGGATCTATATTGTAATTCCAGCACTATGAATCCTTAAGGCCATGAATATTTTGAAGAAATCATTTTGTTTTCTTTGGACTCAATGACTTCACTGGATTCAATGTTTCTGTGTGTGTGTGTGTGTGTGTGTGTGTGTGTGTGTGTGTTTTGATGTAAAAAAAGATCTTCAGTGGAATAATAGCAAGTCGCTTTTAGTTCTTACTATCAAAGTTTCCAATAACCCAGATCGCCACTGTTATTTAACTTCTAACTTTTTATAGTTATTTAACCCTAATTTTAAACTACACATATAAACAGGAATATTCATTACTAAGATTTCTCACCCTCTCCTGTGTTAAGGTTAATGCACTTTGAAGGTTGAAAGCAAATCCTGTTTCTACACACAGAGCTGAAACCCTTTGAAGGTCTGTGGAAATGCTGTTCTCCTTTGTACCCCCAGGAGTGGTCACAGGTCCTGGGTGAGCCAGATGGCCATCAGCCTTGTGCATTCACAGAGCTGAAGTCTTGTTGCTCTAAGTCCTGCCATTCAACTTCCATGCCCTGCCCTCTCCAAAACATGATGGGCACTAGAAGTTGGAAACACATGGGTGACATTGACATTGCATCCTCACAGCACCCACACTGAGAAAAGCCAACAGATCAGCCCATCAGCCGCATTAGTCATTAAGGATGTGCCTGGGAGCTTAATGAGGTCACTGTGATCTGGGGCACAGTGGGCTGTGAAGAAAATCAGAAAGCTAGTTTTTTTTTTTCTTTACCTAAATGGACAAAAGTCAGAGTAATATTTAGTGAATTACAAGATGTTTCATTTCCTTTGCTCTCATTCTTCTCTACCTTACCCTTGGTCATCACTAAATTAGTTGAACCTGATATTCTTCTATGGCTGAAACTACTTACAGATACATTCTTACTCTGTTAAAGTACAAAGTTTCAAACAACACCTCCCCAATCCACAATGCAAACACAAAACAATTTTATCACTGGCATCCATAGAAAATTTGTAATTGTGTATTGTATTTATTATAAATGTATTTAGAATTCTTTCAAATCTTGAAATAACAAAGAAACCAATCCTCTCCAAATGTCAGGCAGTAATTATCTGAAAATCTAAGAGATAATGAGATAAATCAGTAAACTGATTGTATATAAATGCAGACATTTATGGCATGAAAGTTAATTAGTATGCTGGGCACGGGGCTTTTAATCCTAGCATTTAGAAGGCAGGGGTGGGTGAATCTCTGTATGTTCTAGGAAAGCCAGGGTTACATAATAAGACTCAGCCCCAAAACAAATAAACAAAAAGTAAATGCATTGGGAGCCCCCACTTTCTACCCACTACAATTTACTGTTACGTGATGGTTACTCTTATTCTTTTTACTTTTGGTTATAAAGTTAACAACTGAGAAGTTGCAACTTGGTAAATTTACCAATTTCTGGCATAAGTCTTCATTGTATATTGAATTAAAATCCAAATAACTGTTGAGAAGTGGTTTGTTACTTATAATCAAGTATGGATATTCAATTAGAATTTTTTAAGAAAAAGATCCCTCCTTTTAATACTAAAATGCTATTACTTTTTATACTCAATCTACATGCTTAAGTATTCATCAAAATATCTGCTATTGACACTACAAATATAAGAAATCAGGCTTGCCTATATTTACCCCAAGATGCCAATTACTTGTCCTGCTTGCCTCTGGGACCAGATTCTAGCAGAATCCTCTTCAAAGAGATCAGAGAGACCTCATCCAGCAACTAATGGGAGCATATACAAAGTCCACAGCCAAACATTAAGTAGAGCTGAGGAGTCCTTCGAAGGACAGGAAGAGTTGAAGGAACCAGAGGGGTCAGGGATGCCACAAGAACATGGCTGACAGAATCAACTGATCAAGACTCATGGATGTTCCCAGAGATCAAGAAGCCTATAGGGGTCTGACCTAGGTCCTCCTCTTCTTGTATGCTATGGGTGAGTTACTTAGTGTTCTTGTGGGATTCCTACAGTGGGAATAGAGGCTGCTGATTCTTTTGTCTACGTTTGGGACCCTTTTCCTCCTACTAGGTTGCTTCACCCAGCCTTCATTTGATAGTATATTCTTGTTCTTATAGTAGCATATTATACTGTGTTTGGTTGATATCTCTGGGAGGCCTGCTCTTTTCTGAGGGGAGACAGAAGGAGGGAGGATGCATCTGGGGGAGAGAGGATCTGGGAGAAGTGGTTGGGGACGGTAAGGAAGGGAAAATTGGTGTCAGTTGGGATGTAAAATATGAGAGGAGAATAAAAAAGGAGGAAAAAAAGAAAAAAGAGAAATGCCTTTAAATATCCACAGCATTCTTGAATGGATGCTCTTTCCTCTGCTGGAAGAGAACATAAACGAAGGCCATTGGCTTAGTTTTAGGAATCTAGGGAATGTCATGTCAGAGAAATGGCCTATGCTGAGGTCTGAATTTGATTTGGATTTATTGGTGCTGTGGTCTGAGTATCTATGTCCTCCCTAGATCTATATGGTGAAATTCTGACACAATAGGTAATGGATTATTAGAGGTGGAGCCTTTGGGAACTGATCTTATTCCTATAAATGAAATTAATGCTCAAATAAAAGAGATCCCAGAGAGCTATTTTGGCTCATTCACCATGGCATGATGCCCAAAAAAGAGTCCATCATGAGGCAGAGCCTCACCTGGACATATTCATTTGTTTTCATAAACAGTTCTGTCTGTAGTTATTTTGTTATAGCAACAAAAAGAGAATCAAATAGCTTAGAAAAACATTTTGGAATTACCAATAGAGACATAGGGAAGGAACACTAAGAGTTAAGATTCTGGAAAAAGACAAAGGTGACAGGCTGATGCAAGAAGTGAAAATGTATTCATGAGGCAGGTCACCATTGAAAAGACTTTAAAGAAAAGAATAACATTATTTGGTTTATGCTTTTTCAAATGTTTCTTCAGTGTAAAGGTTTTTTTTTAATTGAATTGATAAGGTGTTCATGTAGTGACCATGGATTTTTCTCTGCCCTTGAGCACACTGCCTACTTTTAACTTAAGTCAGTATCTCTCCTCCTCAGACAGTGATTGTCCCTGCTGTATTTTTTCTTTGTCTTTTTCTATTATATATAGGAAATTAACTATCTTATTTATCCTCTGTATTTTTATTATTTAAATCCTTTCTTTGATATTTTCTTTTTAAATATTATTTAATTTAATTTAAATTAAAACAAGCTTCTTTTACATTTCAGTTTCATCCTCCCATCCTCCATTGTCCCCCACTGACCCCCTGTCCCAACCCCTTTCTGCTCCCCAGGGAGGGGATGCCTTCCATGTGGGATCTTAAAAGTCTGTCATATCATTTGGAACAGGGCCTAGACCTTATCTGAACAAGGCTGAGAGAGTATCTCTCTATGTGGAGAGGGCTCCCAAATCCCATTTGTGTACTAGGGGTAAATACTGATCCACTACTAGTGGCCCCATAGATTGTCCAGACCTCCAAACTGACCTCAATGTTCAGGGGGTCTGGAACAGTCCTATGTTAGTTTCCCAGCTATCAGTTTGGGGTCCATGAGCAATCCTTTGTTCAGGTCAGCTGTTCGTGTGGGTTTCTCCAGGCTGGTCTTGAACCCTTTGCTCATAACTCCTCTCTCTCTGCAACTGGATTCCAGAATTCAGCTCAGTGTTTAGCTGTGGGTCTCTGCTTCTGCTTCCATCAGCTACTGGATGAAGACTCTAGGAAGGTACATGAGGTAGTCATCAATCTCATTATCAGGGAAGGGCATTTAAGGTAGCCTCTCCACTATTGCTTAGATTGTTAGTTGGGGTCATCCTTGTAGATCTCTGGACCTTTCCCTAGTGCCAGAATTCTCTTCAAACCTATAATGGCTCCTTCTATTATCATATCTCTTTTCTTGCTCTCCTCTGTTCATCCCCTGACTAGATCTTCCTGCTCCCTCATGTCATCTTCTCCCTTTTTTTTCTTCTAACGCCCTTTTCCCTTCCCCCATGTTCCCAATTAGCTTAGGAGATCTTGTCCCTTTCCCTTTCTCAGGGGGACCATGTATGTCTCTCTTAGGGTCCTCCTTGTTTCCTAGCTTCTCTGGTGTTGTGGATTGTAGGCTGGTAATCCTTTTCTCTGTGTCTAAAATCCATATGTGAGTGAGTACATACCATTTTTTGCAGGCAAACAAATGGAACTAGAAGAAACCATCTTGAGTGCGGTAACCCAGTCACAAAATAACAAAAATGGTATGTACTCTTTGGTATTTTCATATACTTGTAAACCATATTCTAATTTCTCTCACTTCCCCTCCTCTTTCAGTTTTGTTTCTCCTCCTTACAAATCTCCTACATGCATATTGTTTCATTTTGTGGCCCATTGAGTTTAATCAAGAGCACCTATGTAATCATGGGCATAGAACTATCTGAGCTTTGTGGGATCACCACTGAGTATACAGTGGGGCAGAATTTCCAGTCTCCTTGAACTTTTCAGTAGCTCAACAAGGAGGTGCATGGCTCAAAAGCCAATTCATGATTCAAGGTTATCAACAGAGACAGTCTTGGGCAGGCCCAGTACAGAGCTGATGTGAGCTCAAGATTACAGTAGATATGTCATGTCCAGAAGATGGCAATTTGCAGCCCTGTCTTCAGCCTTTATATTTTATTTATGTCTGTCTTTATGGTACCATCTGGTACCTAGCCTTAGTGTGTTTGGTGAAAGCACTTTTCCTTCTTTTGGAAAAGTGAAGGGAGAAAGGAAAAGTAGCCTTCTCCTGTGTTCTTGCCATGGGCAGAGGTTAATAGTGTTATGGATTCAGATCATCAAATAATATTTTCTCAGCACCCAGTACTGTCCCGGAGAAGACATTCTGTTTTGCCATAGAAAACACTTGCAAATGTTTTATCTTCTTATTTTCTTCTAATTATCATAACAGTTTTCCTCATGGCCTTTTCATACATAGTTTTGGTTCAATTTCTCTGTATAAATCATCTCCTCCATTATCTCCCTGGCTCCTATTGTTGCTGTGCCTTTTCTGAAAGTGTTCCCTCTCATATCACATAAATTCTATTCACCTCCCAATGATCTTCCCTTAAACTTAAACTCTTTTTAAACCTTTCTACTATGTATCTTTCTAGTTTTATAACCTCCAGCTACATTTATTGGCATATAAATACAGAACTAGGATTTGAAAATGTAAAAGAACATGTAGCATTTGTCTTTCTGAGCTTGTGTTACTGCAATTAATATGCTATTTTCCAGTTCCATCTATTTTAATAAAATTTCACAATTTTGTTTTTCTTTGTAGGTAAATAAAATAGTTTTTTATTTGCATCACATTTTTCATATTCATTAATTTGTGGACCTATAGGTTATCAGTGTTCTAGCTGTTGTGAATCCTGCAGAAATTATGCTAATTATCAATGAAGCTAGGCTATATGGTAATTATAGTCTTAATTTTTAAAATTAAACCCTAAAATGATGTCCGTAATGGCTACAAGAGTTTATATTATCACAAGCAGTAGATATGAGTTCCCCTTTTCTGAAATTTTTACTACCATATTTTTACCATTTTCTTGATTATAGCTGACTGAAATGAAATGGAATCTCAAAGAAATTTCAATTTCCATTTGCCTGATACCTAAAGATACTGAACACTTTAAAAACTATTTACTAACCATTAATATTTCTTATTTTGTGAAATATTTATTGTCATATTAACACTGAATTGCATCACTTTAAAAATCTACACCAAATACATAAACTAATTTAAGGTATATTTATTTCTTTATTAGATAATAGCTTATGTCACTAAAATTATGAATTAATTCTTTCTCTACTCACAGTCTGACTATCTATTGAAGAGGTTACTATTGCTATTTTCATTTTGTAATATGTTCCAGAAATATTCACTCAAGGTTTTTGAAGGGGGAAACATGCCATCCCTTATTTTCTTTATACATAGGGTCATACCATAAAATTCTTTTGCACTGTGATACTGATATTATTGTAAATTTATTAAATACAATTTCTTCATGGCCCAACAGATTGAAAGGTCACAATTTACTGAACTTTGAAACTACTTCTAATGTGACTCAAAATCCAACCCATGATCCCAAATCTAACAAATTCCCACCAACTAATCTAGCTCCAGGCCCTCCATTTTCTGTGTACATTACTTGTTACCTAAGTGTGGGGATCAGAGAGAAATGAGTTGCCCACAGAGTGTAGTCTTAATTGATCTGATTACCACTATGCTTTAGCTCAAGACACATTGGGATATGTACTTAACACAACTTCAAAGGAAAAAAAAATCAATACTTCCAAGATGGTGGCTATAGAGTAATTGATTAATTTGAAAGTCAGGCTCTTCCGGGTGTGAAATTGGATGAGACCAACTCTGTCTTCTGGATGCAGCCCTCTTATTTCCATGCCCTCCACATACACACTTTGACAATACCCTAGGCTGTTAAAATGCTTTAAAACATCACATGCATGTTTCTTGAGCCTTTTTGGACTTTGTTTTCTCTCTTCAGAGTAGCTGCACTTCAGTTACACACTTGACCCACTTGCTTCTATTTTACTTGTAGGCAACAATAAGGTTTGAACCCTGAGCATTCCTCATTTTATGGAAGTATTCTACAGACAACCTACAAGTCCTGCCAGCTTTCCACCTATTAATGAGACTGCAATGGTGCCTCCTCAAGAAGAGCTTATAGGATTAATGTCTCTTTATTTCAGAGGACAGCAAGGTGAAACACAGGCCAGAGCTAGGTTATAGAACCCAGCCAGCGCGGCCAGAACAAAAGAGAGCCAGGGTCCCCACGTGCAGCCCCTTAAGAAGCTCCCTTACGTCACCCCGGCTTTCCTTCACCACGCCCTTGTGGGCGAGTCCCCAGATCCACCTGGTACCTGCCCCAGGACTATTGGGCGGGGCTAGGGTGACTCCCTACAAGAGCTTATAAGTAACTAGTTTAAAATCATCATTGTTCTTAACAGAGAATTTCACTTACCCTTTGTTATTTTACTTTCTTTTAACCCATATAACATTTAGCTGTGTTGTGTTTGTTTGCTATTGATCATCTAGCTCCCTTAAACTACAAATTCCAGGGAAACAAGGACCAAATATCTTACAAATGCTCAATACTGGCTGAAATGTGATAGATAATCTGAAAATTTCAACTAAATACATGAAATAATTTTATCTGAAAATAAAGAAATAAAATTACTCTTCCAAGAATGACAACTGTTTCAGCATCAAGTATCTCTGAGTATGAGTGTGTGTGTGTGTGTGTGTGTGTGTGTGTGTGTGTGTGTGTGTATGTGTGTGTGTGAGAGAGCACTTTGTGTGTGTGTGTGTGTGTGTGTGTATGCACTTTGCTGTGTAGCAGAGAAAAGAGAAGAAAGATTGTAATGAAAACTATAACATATATTTGGAAAAAAGAAATGCTATTAATCAACACCAGGATGTATTTATCAAGTTTTTTCTTGTGCAAGTCTCATTAAAAGTTGGATTTAAAAGTAGGTACTTTTCCAAGTAAGTAACAGAGGTTGACCTTAAGACTACCTGTATTTTATGCTGAAGCCTGAGCTAAGGCTTCTCAGGGGGTACTTATATTTCAAAAGAGGTTCTTGGTAATTCACATCTCGACATTTTAAAATACAGAAGTGGTAGATAAATGTTAAAAGTTGTCAGTCTGTGAGTTATTAACAAACCAATGTATTGCTCCATTTTCAGAGTAGCGCATGCTTCATATAATATTACTTATGATATTAATACTGTGTCAACATCAAAATATCAAAAGCTTTGAGTAGCCAAAAAAGCATAGTGAGTGTATTAGGCCCCTGGTAAAGACTATTCATTATTTGAATAATGTGGAAACCCTTCTTTTCTCTTTGGATTGGTATTTAAATCATTTTGACAAATGAGAGAATACCAGTCTCAATAGTTCAGTTAGGTCTGGTATGTGTGTGCCTAAATACTAGAAAGGTTTCTGTAGTTAAAATCTACTGCAGTATTCTGCTAGGTTTGGTCTGTGTGTCCCTAAAGACTAGAAGGGTTCTGCAGTCAAAGACTACCTCCTTCCAGAATTCCAAAGAAAGTTGCTGTCTTGCCAGTGGGTAAGTAAGGATGAGATTGACACAATTAGGACTTTCTGCAAATAGGCTCAGAAAAGGTGTAGCAGTCCCAACTTTTCTCCTCGGGACTCTGCTCTGGATTCCAAACAAACTTGGAAAACATTTGAGCTCATCTATGACAATAGCAGAAGAAATAGGGTATTTTCCTATGTCAAACAGGTTTCAGCTTCATACTGAGTACAGTTCTATTCTCTCAGCATTTGCTCTACTACTGTGTACTGTCTGTGGATATCTTCTAGTGGATTTAAACAGCCTAGGTGTCTCTCATCTCTCTTTTCTCTTGTATAAGCAGTAAAAATTTACATTGGGAACATTTACATTAGTAAAATTTGCCCAATTAAAGTACTTTTAGAGTTAAGCAGTAATGTTGGAGGCCACTGTAAATAGTGTATGAGCTAACCCCTAATGAAATGATATTCTTATCACCCACACTGTTGTTTGGAGACATCACTCATTTTGATGGCTTTAGCTGTTGTTTCTACAGAGAAAAGCGTCTCTAAACAATGCAGCTATCCTTGAGCTTTTTCCTTGGTTTCATTTATCTCCTCTAGACAACAATATACAGATATCAAACATAAAATATGCAATCTAAGTCACAATGTTTATCTTTCCCTTTAGAATTTCTTACTCATTCTAATGCCATCATCATATTTCTGTTTCATTAACACCGAACTTCTATACAAAACTATTATTTTAGCACAACAGATTAAAATATTAGATGCCTTTTGTGCCTACAAAATAAATAGAGACTTCCTAACCAAAGTATTCTTATCACAATAATATTAAAACAATCTGAGGAAGGTAGTGTGTTAGAGAAAAACAAAGCAATACAGTTGTTGGTTTATGTATGTAAGAGCTAGTAAGAAGGAGGGTCGAATTCTGTAATATAAACATAAGAGACCAATAATAACATACAACAGAAAGTCCCAAGAGAATAAATAGATGGTAGATTTCTGTGTGCATTTACATAGTCTTTCCAAGCATAGAGGAGCCAAGTAATAGGAACTATTCCAAAGTATAAGCTGAAGACAAAGGCCCTCCTACCATTATGAAATGACACCTGTGCCATGTACTTATTTTATTGTTAAGAGTCTTTAATTAGCTTCTATAAATGAAAATGTCAGAATGAGCCAATTACCCAGTATAGGGTGAGATATAGTATGTGAAGATGGGAAAACAAGTCTTTTTTTCAGAAAACACACAGTTTTATTTATTTATGTTTTTGTTTTTCTTGTTTCTTTAAAAGTAAATACCCTATCATGTTTTGAGAATCCTGTATTTAGATATGTAAGTTTTGCCTGATTTTCCCTCTATCTTTTTAATGAGGCTCTATGCCATTGAATGAGATTTATTTGAACTTTGTAAGAATTCAATAAATTTTAATCCCCACTAGTGCACATCTCTCAGCACTGGCATCACTTGGAGCATAGAGAAACACATATAAAAATAGCTTTAGTGATAGTATAGACACAAGGGCCAAGTTAAGTTACCTGGTTTCCATGTCTTTCAGAGCCCTGGGCACTTGGGATCTCAACCAGTGTCACCAAAGATGCCCATTTAAATCATTGCCTTTCTTTTTAGAATACCATATTATCTACCTTGGAAAAATGCTCTTTTACATAGTATTTGTAATCACAGAAATAGTTAAATTTTAGAGCTAGACATTCTTATTTTTGTCTACAAAGATATTTACATAATTAAGGGAAACAGTATAAATTCAGAAATGTTGCTGTAGAGAGTTTAGGGAAGCAGAATTGTTTTGTCTTCTGTGTTTCTGTTTGTGTCACAAGGTGTATACTGCTAGAAGTATGATAGCTATGGCTTTCAATGATATTGGAACAAAAAATGCCTAGGAAATTCATGACACACATTATTAATGTGTCTGCAGTAGCATTTCCAGTGATAACCTGATTACTGGGATATTGTGTTAGTCACTGATTTAAAACCTGAAGGTTCCATGATATGATGGCTTTATTGGAAGGCAATGGAAAGTATAAGGCAGGATACACCAGTACTCTGAGGAGTGTCCTTTAAAGTCACACCTTGCCTGGTTGTCTCCTGTAAATCTATTTTCTTCTTTCTGCATGTAATGATACAAACTTCTTTGCCAAGTCCTCCTTGCTATGATGGGTTGGGTTTCCCAAAGTGATGAATTCAAGACACACCTTTTTTTTTTCCTTTTTGATCCAAATCGAGGCTAATATAATAAATGAGTGGTCAATGCTAATTCCTATGTAAGGGAAAGGACACATAATTCAGGTTGTTTATTGTCTGCAAAGCAACAAAGGCTTTAATTAGATATGCTGATATTCTCTAATATAAAATGTCTCACAAAGTATTTTTTAATTTTTGCTGTGAGATTTGGTTGAATAGGTTTCAGGTCACCATAGTCAGGGTGCTCTTCTGATAATAATGTTTTCTATTATACATTGGTGAAGTAAAATGCTAACCAGAGTAGACAGGGCTGTTTCCCATACTTTACCCTGAAATACCTGTAAAGATCCGTATCCTTCCTCCATAGTATTCTGCAAGCATAATCCCATCCTTACTAAAGAGATACAATACACACACACATACACACACATACACACACACATAGAGACACACACATACACACACACACACACACACACACACACACAAAAACACACACACACATAGTGTCAAGTAGAGTTCTAGGCACTTGAAAGTTAATTCATTTTATTCATTCTTAACTTAACAGTAATTAGGCTATGCTATTATGGTAAAATTTTGACAGATATATTTAAAGGGCCCATGATAATAATGCAAAATTTGATGTTATCCAACTTAGGCACAATCTGCAGTAGCATGCCCTGGGGTGGGGGAGTATGGGCATATAAAGATATTAAATGAAGAAAAATACTTTAAAAAATAAGGCATGCATTCTGCCAAATGCACAGCAAATTAGGATGAATTCAGCACATTGCTGAATTAAATGTAATCCTCAAATATAGGGACAATTGAAAGCCCTCATCAATAAAAGTTCCTCTTGCAGCCATTGTCACAAGCTAGTGAGAATGTAGAATGTAGAATGCTGGACGTGGAAGATAACTTTGAGTATCTTACAAATTCAGAAGAAACAGAACTGTAAATAACTCAAGACTGCAAGTGTCCCCAGTCATTCCTACTTCCATCCAAGTGGCAGCATTCTCCAGGACCCAAGGTAAAGACTATAAGCAGTGATGCAGGATGTGATGATTTTTATATGAAAATGCATCGATTGTGAATATCATCAATCATGATAGAGTTTGGTAGCATGCACAAGCCCCAGGTTATATCAGTAGTAACGCTGTAATATCAGTACAGTGGTAGCATTAGCCCACAAAGGGGGCTTTGAGAAATGGGGACCATGGGATAGAGGCACTTTTCAGTGTAACTATCTGCCATCATCTTTGTACTTTAAAGTATCCTTCACTGTGTTGCCCCTTTGGTAAAGTCTGGGGGTAAAGATCTTTTTAGCACTCAGCTCATTCCTAAAGACCCATGCCAAGACCTCCTTGGTGGTCTTAACAATTCCTTCCCTATTTTAATAACATGTAGAAAGGCTTCTTCTTGGCTCTAGGCATTTGACCTCTCTTTTCTGAGGAACTTTTATTTAGAAATCTTCTAATTGCTAATGTTTCCTCTGCATCTTTGAGATATA